TGTGCACCAGTTTTCAGGAAACACGTAAACGAGTGAGGACCGAGGGAAGAGGGAAACAGGGATGGAGATCCTGCAGCACATCTCGGAACCTTTGGCCTGTTTTCTTTATAAAAGCAGCAAGTCCTGTTTCACTCTTCTCTTCAACCCACCTGGGCTGTTTTTGAGCCTTCTGGAACCCAGTTGCTCACTGTCACTGCGTGGCGAAATTACGTCAGATGGACGGGCTTGAAGCTGGTTCCCCCGAGCGGTCCTGTGCGCTGGTGTTGGAGGTGGGGCCGGGGTGGCCAGGCCTGCATTCCGTCTGCTCACCCTCGACTCGCCTTAGCCCACGTGTTTCTGATCACTCACAGTAGCACCATTCCACTTTCTCCACTTCACCCGGTTATGTGTGGAAGAAGGTTAGGGATCGCATGGAATGACAATCGCACCACCCTATACAGCAGCTCACATTGACCACAGCTAGCTGTTCCAGACTTGATTAAGCCAACCAATATACTAATGGGTCCAATCTCATGTGTTCTGAATCTTTACAAATCGGCGATTTAACAATTGAACCTGACATATTGACATACTGGCCCTGCTAGATTGTGGCTCTCCTGGACCAGGGCTGCTAAGCCCTAGTTAGGATGAGCCCTGTGCTTTGAACCGAGGCGCATTAGTGCTGTGTCCTTGTTCTGTCACAATGATAACCTGTATCTATTTTGGTTCACAATCTCTGGGTTTTCTTAGAATAGCCAGCTGTTATCAGGACAGGCACTTGACACCTGATAAGTTACAAGGTACTGCTGCTGTGTTATCAATGTTCTTGTTCATTTTCACAAAGATTTCATGTGATCTGTGTTAGACTGCTCTCTTTACAAATTGAGATCTCGTAATAAGATTGAGCAAAAAAGAAAGAGCAATAACTATTTCCAAATAACATCACTTCAGCTTTGCATTTTACCTAAGACTTTCAATGAAATCATTTTGGAGTGGAACTGGTGGCAGATGTGCTTTTAATAAGACAGGACTGTGCAGAATTTCAGAAAGGACTCTGTGTCTGCAGCAGTGTCCCCAGAGAAATTATTACCTGATTTCTTTGTGGAAAACCTTACTTTACCAAAGGGAGACTTTTTTTTGCCATAATCCTTGCCCCTCTGTGGCGTTTGTTTCGATTCCTTGTCACTTACACAGACATGAGAAGAGGAATCGACCGGCACTAGGAAAGGGACTATTTTTCAGAGAGGAGGCAATGGTGTGTTAACTGTATTAAACAAACCACAGAGCAGCAGGTCATCAAGAAATTGCATTGCTTACAAAACCTACTGTTCAGGATCTGTTGTTTTTTTTCTCAGTGCCAGATTACAGTAGAGACCACATAAAAAATAGCCATCAATTAAGTATGATTAAGGCTGTCGATACCTAATTCAACATCCTGCCTCTAATTGTGGCTTTGCTGAAATTGTACAGTGACTGGAGGATTTTGTAACAGCTGTTTTTTAATGTTGTATTGGATTTATGTTAAGCTGGGAGATGAATAGAGTAGCAGTGCTTCTCTGTTGTCTGCTGCGGCTCGGGTCCGAGAAGATGATGTCATTCGGAACCATCTGTGATGAGTTTGTGAGTGGGTGGCTCCCCTGTACACAGGTATCCCTCTTCAGGGCTTTTTCACTTCATTTTGGGGTTGCCCCTGTTTCTGTGTTTACTGTACATCTACGGAAACCCCCCCAAAAAAAACACGGTACTAAGTTAGTATCAAGAATTTGTCCCGTCTTCTTAATGGGAGCTTGTTATCCTCTGTTTGTTTTTGCCGCTGATGACATGGTGTTTTCAGCTGATACAGCAGTCGAGCACTGAGTTCTCACTGAAGGCACAAGTCACGGAATGCGATTTCCACAATGCTTGGACATTATAGCCATTCTGTTGCTACATCTTAGGAATTTATTCAATTTAACAGCAATCATCACTGCTCCCCCTTGGTGCCTCATTAATGGGCAACCTCATAGAACTTGAAGAGGTGCTAGTGGGGCCAGCAGGGGGTGCTCACCCTGTGGTCCACGTGGGTCCTGATGCCCCAGTATAGTGACGGGGGACACTGCACTGTAAACAGGTGCCGTCCTTCGGATGAGACGTAAAACCGAGGTCCTGACTCTCTGTGGTCATTAAAAATCCCAGGGCGTTTCTCGAAAAGAGTAGGGGTGTAACCCTGGCGTCCTGCTCAAATTTCCCATTGGCCCTTACCAATCATGGCCTCCTAATAATCCCCCTCTATGAATTGGCTTCATTACTCTGCTCTCCTCCCCACTGATAGCTGATGTGTGGTGAGCGTTCTGGCGCACTATGGCTGCCGTCGCATCATCCAGGTGGATGCTGCACATTGGTGGTGGTGGAGGGGAGCCCCCATTACCTGTAAAGCGCTTTGAGTGGAGTGTCCAGAAAAAGCGCTATATAAGTGTAAGCAATTATTATTATTATTAACTTGAACCCCAGTGGCCAAGGCTTTTTTCCCAAAGAGCATCTTTATTCATTGTGTGTCTCTTTCGATGCCCATCCCTAATGTGTTTTTCTACAGTACAGCAATGATGCCCCCAGGGAGTTCTGTTAAAGATTCATGTGTCGTCTTCAATACCTCACAGTGTGGGTTTGTGATGTCAGAAGCCATACCTCGCTTCTGTCAAGTGAGTGTAAAACAAGCAATCATCTAAATAGTGCTTACATGTTTCCACAGCAGTGCAGTTTATCATCTTTTCTTATACAGGATGTGCAGCGAGAGCTGAAAGCACTGTTCTCTGGACACATGCATGAGTGGTGCACACCACAGGTGCCATCTCACAGAACAGAGAAGCCCCAGCCCAGTCGTGATCCTTTGATTCTATGCCACTGAATAATATTCATGAAGTGAATATCCGGGCAAGGCAAACAATAACACCATAGTGTACACAGGCGTGTGTTACTGGCGCTAGAGAATGAGACTCTCTTACAAATGAGTTTCAGAAAATCGTTTCTCATTTAGGAGCAAGCTTAATTCCACCCTCAAGGAAATTGGGGAGGTGAAGGGTGGAGGGTGGCTGAGAAGAGAGATGAAAATCTCTCCGACGACGTGCAGTGGAAGTGTAGAGGTAGCAACCTGTAAATGGGTGGAAAAGATCTGTCGCTCGGTGAGCTCGGCTTGTGCCGTCCCAGCTCTCATGCGGATACACTCCTGTCCATCCAAAGGCTGGATGGGGTCTTAGGATCAATTAGCTCCTAACTACCACACGTCAGGATGGGTCAAATAGCTCCTCTTGTTTGTCACCCTTTTGATGTGGATGTACAGGTCACAGGTGACCTTAATCAGGCATGTGAAATAATTTGCCTTGTGAAAGCCGAGTGAGCACATGGGGATGTACTCCTGTGTGCCTGTAGATTTTCCCAGGGACTAAGCTCAACAATGTAATGAGGGAAGCTGAAATAAAGTGGGTTGCGTTTATTTTCTTTCTCCTCAGATGACATGTGAAAGTTCTGTCAGCAGAAATAAAGGTTAAGCCAATATTTGAGTATAGCACTGCAGAAGAAGATGTCAAAACACTTCTGTTCCCGTCCCCCACCTCATGGTTATTAACGTATTGGCATGATCAGTCTATTCAGAGCATTATACTGACAAAGATGTGCAGATGGTGTTATTAGCCATGTGGCCCCTCTTCTCTTTAATCAAACACCTCATCAGAGATGCATTTCATGAGACTCTGTGTGATTTAGTCAGAAGGGTTTTTCAGCTCTTCTGAGATTCGCCAGTACAATGCAGGTGTGACTTAAAGGTCTTGAACACCAGATCCAATCCATAGTCGTCTCTTTCCATGTGTATTTGTCTCAGAACACAATGTAAGAAATCTGCCCTTTCTGGTTGGAGTCTGCAGCTGTTGCACAGTCAAGTTGCACAGTTTTGGAGGTGACACAAATTCGATTTGACATCCAATAAAAATGTCACTGATCAGTGATTAACAAGATGGAAGGGGCATAGTTACAGTCCCTGTAACTAAACAGAAAGACCTTTATAATAACGCAGCATTAACTAGAAGAACATTATATGTCCATTTTATTGCCATGGAGCTGGGTATGAATAAAATAAGAAGAAACTGAAATAAACTGGGGACCATTCATTGCCCAGTCTGAGCTCCTGTATCGGTCTGCCTTAATAGTGCCCCATATTGTAAGCTTCAGAACGTGCTCCTGGTGCTCCCACTGTTGCCTTGTCTGGAGATTTTGGTTTTGACATTCCAACATGCTGCTGTTGGGTGATTTGCTGCATGGATGTATTTTGTCTGGAAATCAATGAAAACAATGGATCAGATCTAATGGGCCAGGGCCTTTCGTCTGCTATTCTGTTTCTTGGTCAAATGGACCAAGTGTACATTGGTT